AAGTTATAGTTGATACAGTTATCCCCAGTTTTGTGAATCTATCTGATTACATCTTAATCACTGACCAAGTTGGCATGATAAAGTAAGAGGTAAGTTAAAATACTGTAGTTGTTTGGTTTTATGATAACAATAAACACTCTGCATGAATATATGATTACATAGGATGAAGATTAATACAACTCATGATACTATACTTAAATTAACTATGGATAATATTGACATAAGCATAGTATACACTAGAAGATTAATACTGTATCAGATCAAAAGTCCATTTGTTCCAGCATTTTAATTCACACACAGCCAACCAGATGTCAAAAGAAGGACCCCCAAGACAATATCACTGTTGCTTCCAGTTAGCTAATTTTTAGTATTATGGAGCCTCTGAACCTAGAGGTAGAATGACTATTGGTACTGGTGACTATTGGTATACATTTCCCTGAATTTCATGAATTTAACTAATTCTCTTTTAAAATATTCAGATTTGTAGCCATTACTATAGCTAGTGGCAGTAATGCACTATACACTGGGCAACAGACAAATTTTTCAGGCTATATTGGGAAAAAATAATTTTATCATAAAAGTGTCAACTCTTCCTTTCCTTTGAACTACTGCAAATTCCATTAAGTTCTCAGAACATTTTTTTCTAAAGGAAAATACAGCTTTGTACGTGCTTTCCCTTAATTCTTACATTTCTATACATATTTGTTATCTTCTGAACTGGGTATTTCAGGTTTGCATATATATATTTAAGAGCTCCAAAATCTATATATTTGTATAAAAATTGCAGCCAATGTGTTCTGTGCTATGTACAGCAAATCTAAATATCTATTTAAATATCTCTTTTCTGTGTTATTATTTTTTTAACCATATGTCTTCCACTCATAGAGGAATTGTTCTAGGTCCATCATCAGTTACCCTTTTCTACATATTTTGCAGCTCTTCAGTATTATTTTTGGTAAGCAATGATTATATTCCCAGTGTTGGCACATTATTTATTTATTTATCTATATTTCATATCTGTCACTGCCCATCTCACTGCAGAGTGACTCTGAGTGGTTTACAGAAAAAAGAATAAATATTA